AAAAAAAAAAAAAAAAGAAAGTGTTATAAGCTCTGAAGGACATTTTAATCAAGGTGTGGGTGTGCATTCACATGTACTGAAGTCTGTACCTGTGGTCCTATTTTGAGGTCACCAGATTGCACCCCCTTTCCCGAAGTATGTATTGGTGAACTCTCTTTCCTGTTTGTTTGGGGGCACCAAGCCAACATGTCCTGCTCTGTCCCGTTTCCACACCCTACCACGTCACCACAGCTCTACTATGCCAGGAATGTTACTGGGGAAGAGTGGTTCTCTGACTCAGAGGACACCCCAGGGACTGAGTGGGAGTTGGTGAAATTAAAAATAAAAATAGTGGGAGTTCTAAAAACACAAAAATCAGCCGGGTGTGGTGGTGCGTATCTGTAGTTCCAGCTACTCGGGAGGCTAAGGCAGAAGAATCGTTTGAACCCGGGAGGTGGAGGTTGCAGTAAGCCAAGTGCCACTGTGCTCCAGCTAAGCGACAAGAACCGTACTCCATCTCAGAAATAAATAAATTAATTAAATAAAATTCACAGATTAGTTCACAGGGAGAAGATTCCTGTCTGACTGCGTTGGTCATTCTGGGATTTATTAGTCTGTTTCCAATTTTAAAATCAGAAACAGCTTTACATCAACACCAGCTGATTTCTAAAGTAACTCAGGAAACAGTAGCAACCCAATGCCTTTTCAGGAAACAAACATAATTTATTCAACAAATATTTATTTACTGAATACCTATGAGCCAAGTCCTGTGATAGACAATGTGTCCCTCACTAGTTCCTGTCCTGTTTAGTTGAGTGTAGGGTATAGGTATAGGCAATTATAAAATACTTCAACACTACAAAATTCTGCTGTGGAATTACAAACGGCAAGATTTTGTCTATCTTCGGTGCACAAAGGAAGACGAATAATCCAGCAGGTGGCAGCAGGGACACAATTATTTTAGAGTTTGGTAAGGAAAAAGTAGAAGGCTGAGGTAAATGCATGGGGAGATATATACATATATATATATGTGTGTGTGTGTACTTTTTTTTTTTTTTTTGAGACAGAGTTTTGTTCTTGTTGTCCAGGCTGGAGTGGAATGGCGCGATCTCAGCTCACTGCAACCTCCGCCTCCTGGGTTCAAGCAATTCTCCTGCCTCAGCCTCTCAAGCAGCTTGAATTACAGGCGCCCGCCACCAGGCCCAGCTAATTTTTTGTATTTTTAGTAGAGACGGGGTTTCACCATGTTGGCCAGGCTGATCTCAAACTCCTGAGCTCAGGTGATCTGCCCGCCTCAGCTTCCCAGAGTGCTGGGATAACAGGCGTGAGCCACAGCGCCCGGCCTGCATGGGGATATTCTATGGATGTTCGGGTCCCAGGTTCCCTTATGAGGACCCACAAAACATCTGGAAAGAGGATAACCAGGCCATTCTGGGGTTTACAAAACCTGTTTTAATGGGGTTCTTTCATGGGCTGTGAATTTGAGAGGATCTATCCGTCCGACTCTTTTTTTTTTTTTTTTT